AAGATAACTAGAAACATCAAAGGTACAAGAAGATGCATCTGGGTTCCCCACTCATACCTGAGTGCTCTTAAATTTTCTTAAATGGATAGGAAAGCAAGGGAAGCATTACTGTTTCCCACAGTGTTTTAATGGAATACCTTACCCCTGAGTGCATTTTTCACATAAATGAGTTGCTTAATTTTAGGAGGTTTTGGAGGAAGTTTCCCATGGAAACAGTTATGTGCTTGCAGCACAGAAATGGCCAGAAATTAAGAGCTGCACCTCTCCTCAACATTTCTATTGCTGTTTTATATGGGCCCTTTCACAGCAAAAATCTGTTATGAAACTCAGTCTGAGGCACTAACTCCTCCCATGTACTGCACAGATGCTTTTTGGTACATATTTTAGGATTTTACTCAGGAAGCCTAAGGAACCAGCCTTCAGCCCTTTCTGTACTCTTCAAGAATCTCAGTTTTTTTGTTTTTTTTTTTGTTTTTTTTTTTAGGCTGGGGAGGGGTGAATATTGTACTATGACAGGAAATGCGGGTGTGGGAAATGGACTGAAGTCAATAGGACTTGTCTGGGCAATCCTCTGCAATAGAGCAGGATCAATACCACCTAAACCTGATGTATTTATTTTATCTGATAATCATTAACTGAAAGAAACATGGAAAGCTATGCAGTTTTAGTTGTGCTGCCACAGAAAACTGCAGAAGGGGATAGAGGCCCAATGGCTGAAACAATTTCTTCCTTTAACAAGATTTTTAGAAATGCTTTCTAAGTCACTCTGTCTTGCCCACCAGCATTTATAGCTTTGAGGGAGGAGTCAATTAAAAGATTTCTTTCCATATTCCTTAAATCTGCACATCTTTTTGGAAAGATTACACTTTATATGCCTCGAATATTATCAGCAGCTTCCAAATTCAAGTTCTTTTACAGTTCCTCTTAAAAAGTTCTGGACCACTGGATTGTAACTCTTTCTACTGGGCCTAATTTGTATATGAGAAGTTGAAATGACTGTTAGATGTTACCCTAATGATTTGAAACTGTAAACCAGAATGAAATAAGTCATTGTTAGATTTGCTAAACTTGGTGACAAATGGTACGTTTGGGGGTCTTGACCTTTCCCGTTTGTAATGCAGAAATTCACGAATATGTTCCATTTACTGCAATAAGTTTCTGTAGTTGTCTTAGATCTGTCTTACAAAATGGCTTTAAGAACTGTATTTGAGAATTTATAAGGTTTAAAATTTTCTCCCTTGTTGAAGGAATGAAAAGATCTTTTTTTTTTTTCACAACTTTGTTAAATTTCAGATGACTTCCATCAGAGCTTTCACTTTGTCTTGGCGTGGAGCACACATAGCCTTCCTCGGCGCTGGCTGAGGAAGGACAAGTGCTGACTGCCTCAACCTCTTCCTTGGCAGGTGACACTAAGCATTTGCCACAGGAGATATTTTTAATAAAGGGTTGCAGATCCCTCATCCCTTCAACTCATTAGCAAACTGAACCTCAGACATCCTCCCAGATTACTTCTCCCATATATAATATGAGGCAAGAACAGTTCAGGAGGCAAGCCTTAGGAGGGTCAGATATCTGACAAACTGACACAGTAAGATACTTTCTTCCTGCCATTAAAGGCTCTTTTTTGGACCCTCTCCCATTACTGAACATTGTCCTTCAATTATGAAGCAGAACCAGACAGAATGTTGCATTAGTATGTATATCAAAAAATAGATACAGAAGGAATAGTTTTCTGCTTTTTTACTTGAAATTCCCCTATTCATTACCAGAAGATGGAGTTAGTTTCTTTTGGTTACAGAATATTAATAAAAACTTATTCTTCCTGATTATTTAATATGACTACCAAGTTTATTTCATAATCACTGGCTGCCACAACAGAGATATGCACCCCCTGAGCGTGGCCCTCATGCTTTGTTTATAGCTGTCTTTATATTTAGAATACTAAAATATCATGAAAGCTGAGTACTCAGATTGTATTGTACCAGTGGTATGCATAATTTTCCTGGTCACTGCGTTGCCCATAGCATCAATAATTTTGATACTATAGTTTCTTCCAGGTCATGAAAAAAGGGTAAGAAACGAGAGGACCCATCTAGACACACCTTTTCCTCAGAGGAGATTCTTCATTCACAATTACAGTCTGGAGGAGTATCCAAAAATTCTGAATCCACATCCTGATGGCCGTTTCTGGGCATGTATTGTTCTACTGTTTTAATCAAAGAACCATCCAGTAGAAAGACAAATATCTTACAGAAATGTAAGTGTGCAATATTGGCAGTATAAACCAACTATGCAATTCTGCCCTCAAAAGATATCAAATTAGACTGGTTCTATTTTCCTTCAGATTGAGATAAAGGTCATTATATTTTATTCCTTTAATTCTGTACTCGTCAAGTCGCTTAGCAGTCATACCATTCTTTATTTGGGATCCTTTATCTTAAATTTTGTAATTGCAATGACGGAACATGAATGGGATGTTCTGAAGTAGTGGGAACCATCTACCTTCAATTCAAAGGCAACAGAGATCTTCACAATGTTATTATACATTAATGCCCTTTCCTTACACATAAAAACAGACAGATGCATATATATATGTATATATTAATAACCTGATCAAGTTTTGCCTGTACAGAAACAATAAGAAACCTGTTAAAGGAACAGATACCAGCATTTGTTGCCGTTGTTTCGTTTGTTTTTATTTTTATTTTTTTTCTCTATGAACAGTTGGCACTGAAAATGCTATTGGAGCAACCAAAAACTTTGGGTTTTGTCTGCTTTACAAGCCAATCTGCATGGGAATAGATGAAAATAGTACACAAAACTAAGAAATAGTTCTTACTGTCAAGGAATTCATGGCTGTCAACAATATTTTGTCCCCATTATGATTGTTTGGATCTTCACATTATCTAAACCCTTGTACTGTCTTATAACTCTGGAATATTATCTAAATCCTTACAACATCTTGTAATCATACACCTCTTTAATATTTTCCCTTAAAAAGCCTCCAGGCTTTTTCCATTTCTTCTATCAAAGTTGAAATGACCAAAATTAGTGAAATATTGAGAAGACACAGTGTAGTGTCAATTCCTACGATACTCTAATATTTCAATATCCTCTAATCATTTTGTTCCATTTCAGACCAACTGTATGTAACTGTGATCCCCATCAACGCTACATCCAAAATTTTAAAAGAATCATTATTCTGAGAGGACTTGTTATTCAAAGCAAATGAATAGCCTTAGAGAGCTAAATTAATAAGGAACACTGGTTAAGCCAACTATAAAATATTACTGCCACTGGGATAGTGAATAACTGAGTTATTTGAGAGACTGATAGCATCTTTGTCCCTATGCATACACAAGGCTATCCTTTTTGGTATCTTATAAATAAGCTGCATATTTAAGAATATTTCTTGCCTTCCAGCCTTTTTTTTTTTTTTTTTGGTAGCTTAATTCTTCAGAACCACGAGGAAAATGACATTCCGTTCTCCTGTTTCATGAACTAACTCTGTTGAAGACCCTCGACCCTGTGGTATTTATTTCTTCTTAAAACATGAACACAGAGCCGAAGTTATCTGAAGTTATCCCATTAATTAATTAATAAGTGACATTCTCAAACTTTTATGAACAGGCACTGTTTAAAATATCACCATTGTTTTTCAAAAGCTTGTTCTTACTATTAATGAAAAACAAATTTTAAAATGTCCTGTTTCATAAATCAGTACTCTTGTTTTTGTATTATTATTATATATTTAACATTTAAAACTGTGCTCCTTTTGTAGATCAGCAGCTATACAAACAATCTCTGCTGCCTCCAATAGAACGATATTTTGCATGTGATAATCACTTCTATGTTTCTTGGAGATTTAAGAATGTTTTACTTCTTTGCATGCAAATACCTTTAAAATAGAGTAGTGGTCCAGATTTTTAGGTATCTCTGACTTTAGTGAAGCCATGGATAAAAGAATGGGGGCTTGCTTAATCGCATTAAAAATTTCTAAATAAAACAATCATAATTATTAAAGCCAGGAATGGAAGAATGGGGGCTCACTTAATTGCATTAAAATAGATATTGCTGAGTGTCTTTGCTTATTGCTGTGCAAATTAACTGAAACAAGGAGTGTTGGGGCCCCTCACAGAGGATGTTTCCTGACAAAATGGGGAACCTGTCTCAAAAACCAGCTGAGACTGACCTTGTTGTTTGGACAAGAACCAAGGAGCAGCTGAGTCTGTACAAAGGAAGGGGAGGGGGTCAACTAGTAGTGATGAAGAGGAGTTAGCAGCCTTTATCCCCACAGCCCCCCCAGTGACCACCAACAGAAGGCACTGCACAAGTGCAGACAGGAGGAGTTCATAGAAATGACTTCTTGAAGCTAATTTTAATACAAACCAGGGATAGGTTGTGAACATGTATAGCTGTATTAGGAAACTGCATGCATATGTAACTTTTTACTGCATATAACCAAAGCAAGTTGCTGTGTTAGGCTGCGCATGCCTTTGGGAGCTATCCCGCTTGTGCCCGGTGCCGAAATAAACCACATACCTACTATATAACTCATTTGCTTTGACTTGTAGAGTTCTTCCACGAGTCATTAGGAGAAATGCAGCACAACTAGGGACACACTAAGAAGAAACTAGGATGACCATCTCCTCTGGCTGTGTCACAATCTCCGGCCAGTTTGCACGCAGCATGGCAGGAAAGCACTTTGCCATCAGAAACACTTGAAGTGAGCAGATTTAGCCCAGTGAGAGCCAAACACTAACAGTGGTAGTAGAACAGGGACACTTCCCCATGAGGGAGGCAGAACCAGAGATGTACGGGTTTAAAAGTTGTCTTCCTACAGTGGCCAAGTGTACTGTGTGGGGGACCATCACCATGCTGCTGGAAGCAGAAATAATGCCCCAAAGGCAAAAAAGGAACATGATCTCCAAAGAAATATCACCTCCTCTCCTCCACCCTATCAAGGCGTTTCTACTTTCCTGGGGTGACACTGACACATTGCGAAACTCTCTGCAAACACGCGGAGAGGCAGAAAGGGCAAATTCCTGCAGGTGACGAGGGAAAGCCCGGGACTCCGAACACCTCCAAAAACTGGAGGAACCCTGATTCCGCCTCCTGGAGGAGAGGAAGCACGAATCCCCTCGCTAAAACAAGAAATAAAGAACCTCCAAGGTCTACACGGCGGCACTGCGAGGGCTGCCCTGCCTGACGGAGTCCCCGCCGCTGCCATTTTGCGGCCGCCCGGCGGCTCTGCGCACGCCCATCGCGGCCGCAGCGGGGCCAGGGGCAGCTGCCGGCCCCATGGCGGAAGATGGAGGCCGGGGAGCCGCGGCCAGCCCGGGGGCGAGCGCCCGCTTCGTGCGGTGCCTTTACGCGGTGGGCTTCCTGGTAAGCGGCGGCGGGGGGCTGTGCCGGGTGAGGGGAGGTGAAGCCCTCCCCGCCCCGCGGCTCTGGGGACCTCTGCCGGGGCGGTGCTCGTGGTGGTGGTGGTGGTGGTGGCAGAGGGCGCCTGCCCGTGAGGGTCCCTCAGCTGCTTGGGAGGCGCTGCAAAGCCCGAGGTTAATCAGGAATTGGGCTTCTGTCTCCTTTTCTCTTTCCTCGGACACCCGGTCAGAGCCCCCGGTGCTCCCACCGAGCCTGCGGTCGGGCGTGAGGTGGTGTTGGGTCCCCCCCTTGCGCTGCAGGCGAGGTTGCCACGTTGCTCAGCTGCTTTCTGGAGTTAAAACATTTGCTGTAGCAGTGGTCTGTAGCAGCTGGGCTGTTTTTCCACTGTGATCAGTCATGTGGCCTGCCCTGGTATGGGTTGCATCCAGTGAATGCAACAGAATAATGGCGTATCGCCATTAAAATTAAGTCTTGTTTTATATATATCAGAGCTGTTCTTTGCTTCCTTGAACTTATTGTAGTGCTCATTATAAACTCAAAAACCATCTCTTTTTTTAAAGAAAAAATCACAGTGGAAAAACGGTTTGTGTTCTGTATTTTACAAGTCTTGGGAAACAGGGCGATTTAATATAATACCTTTTTAACTAATACCTTGCTGACACGAAGCTTTGAGTACGCACTGCCATCAAGCAAAAAATGAGTGCAATTTTAATGGTGTGGAGTGTGGTGAAATAAAGAGCTGTCACCGGTTATGCAAGTCCTGTAACCAAGCAAATGCAATATTGTTGCCGTTTGACATGAGATGTTATAAGCGAAATGACAAAATAACCAGTTATTAAAGAATAGCGGTCAATGGGTCTTGCCCAACTTGCATGGCTGTGACAAGTTGAATACTACCGAGATATGTTCTGAGACCTGAACTTTTCAATATCTTTATCCCTGACCTCAACGAGGTGGCAGACTGCACTCTCTTCATGTTTGCGGATGATATCTAAGTAGGGGGTGCAGTTTAAGGCAGGGGAGCTATCAAGGGGGGAGCTAGGCAAGTTGGATAGATGAGCTGACAGTAGCCTTATGAAACTGAATGAGGACAACTGCTGTCTTGTAATTGGCAAGAAATAACCCCTTCCAAATACACAAGCAGGGGAGTAGCTCTTCTGATAAGGCCCTGGTGGGAGGAAGTGAGATGAATATAAGCTAGCAGTGTGCCCTGGTAGACAGGCAGTCAGCAGCATCCTGGGCTATGTGAACAAAGAAGTGATGTTAGTTCACTCAGTACTTGCGAGAATGCATTTAAAATATTGTGTCCAGGTTAGAGTGAGCTTCCTGGGCCACCAGGATGGCTGGAGAGGTGGAACACTTGCCCTGTGAGGAGAGGCTGAGGAGGAACCTGGCAGCAGCCTTTCCTGTACCAGAACGGAGGTACAAGAAGAAGGACCCAGACTCCACAGGGTGGTGCATGGCAAGAGTAAGAGGGACACAAGTCCTGTATGCAGTCAGAACCTCTCATTTTAATTTCAGGAAAGCCTTTTTTTACCATGACGATAGTCAAACAGCAGGACAGGTCATCAGAGAAGTTGTACGGTCTCTGTCCTTGGAGCTTTTCAAGGCATGACTGGTTAAAGCCGTGAGTTACCAGGTCTGACTTCAAAGCTGGCCCTGCTGGGGACTGGACTAGAAACCTCCTGAGGTCCCTTCCAAGGGGATGATTCTATTTTTCCATGGTTCTATAAACTAGTGCTTGGAATAGCTTTTTGAGCCCTAATACGGTTTTACTGATGATGTTTGTAAGTCATGTGGGCTGTTTTAACTTTTTAAGTCTTAGTTGCAACCATAAGAGACTTAATGACAGACTGTTGGAATTTATTCAGTGGCATTCATTGTTGCAATTATTCTGACTGTGGGCATACTATGAACAGCTAGTCTACTTCAGCTTCAGCAGTCAGTGATAAAAGGTGATCTTGCTTCAGTAGCTCTCCTTTGTAAGGTTCAGCTCTGATAAAAGACTCGTACCAACAGCGTACAGTGAATGAACTACTGGGTTAATGTGGTTAGCTTAACAAAAGATAAAAAGTCGAAAGGACTGAGTAGGAAATCCTTGTACCGTTCAGAATGGGCAATGTCCTCTGCCCTCCTCTTACAAGAAGTTTTCTACTTATGCTTTGTTCTACGTGTTTTTTTAATGTTTTTGCCTTTACATTTCTTCAGTTTTACAGAAATAGAGTGTTTAGGTAGGCTCTGATCTGTCTTAGCTTCTGCCCCATCCTGGTTGAGAGTTACAGTACTGTAGGTTTTCTAAATACACTCCCTCTGCACAAGTAAAAAGTATTTAGGCAACTGAAATGACAGACCACTTTGAATTTAAAATACTAGTGCCAAGTACTTTTCTTGTTAAACAGGTAAGTATTCCCATAGTATATATTCAAATGTATTGTTTATATGTGTATCTTCAGAATGTTTGTATCTGGAGAGGGGAAAGTACTGATGTTTTCATAGTTTTCACAGTTGTGTGAGGCAATCCTGTAGGTTTCAGCTTCTGTGTTTATAAATTTGTACATACAGGGTCTGCTGCAGAGGTTATGACATACCACATTAGACATGAAAACTTTTTTTTTTTTAATCTTGTATTAATGCAGAAATCATTTTGAATTAGTGACTGACTGTTGTTAAGCCAGGTTGCTACCATCTCTGTAGAAGTGATCACTTCCTAAAACTTTCCCTGCCTTCTTTTCAGGATTTATTTGGTGTGAGTATGGTTGTTCCTTTAATGAACCTTCATATCAAATCTCTAGGAGCAAGTCCTACAGTTGCTGGAATAATAGGTGAGTTGCAGTACTCCAATGATTTACCAAAGAATTTACCTGCAAATTGGACATTGAAGCACAATTCTTCCTTGCTAGTAGCATGATAAAAAGTAATGACAAATTCCAAATAAAAATGTAAGGAAAATCATGCTGTGTTAGATCCAGAGACCTGTCCAACCTCCTGTCAGTAGCCTAAAGCAGAGTCCTGGGAAAGTACATTCTTGGCAAGAATAAGGAAGTCTTGCAATAATACTTGGTATTATTATAATAATAATACATATACTGTACATATACAAATAATAATAATAATACATGTGCTTTTCCAGCATCCAAGAATTCACAGCTCAGCAACTGTGGGATCCAGAGCTGTAGCTTTTACTTCTGTTGTTATTTGCAGGCTTTCCAAACAGTATTACTACAGGTGGTTCTCCCAAGCTTTCCAATGCTCCTGATTGCTTCCCATTTGATTAAATTCCTTGCAGCTGCCTTTTGATCAAAAAAAAAAAAAAAATATATATATATATCTTTACGTAATATTTACAAGTAAACTCTGAAGTTTCGGAGTTCTATGTTAAAAATTAACTGGTAAGATGAAGTTCCATGGTTCTAAGGTTCTTATTTATATATTATGGTACTGTTTATGGTTTGCTATGATACAAGTGTGATATTCTTCATAGCCATGTGTGGTTAACTTGGGTTTTGTTATTATTATTTTTTATTACCCTGATTTTTTTATTTTGGATGAAAGCACTTTTTGTGAAATAATTTATTTCTGCTCTGAGGTGGCAATATTATTTTAAGCAGCAGTGCATCAAAAATATGTTTGTATTTCAACAGTCTGCTTTGATTTAAGCTTTAAAAAAATAGATTTTGAGGTGTATTCTTGTAAAAGAAAGAATTTGGCAGATGTTTCTCTGTGCTTTTCTTTGCTGCTTCTCTTCTGTCACTAACTGCGCTAAACTCAGCCTCTAAAATGAAAGAGTAGGGTCTGTGGTTTCTTCAGGGCTTCTGTGGTGCCTTGGAATAGGTTGAAGTGCCAAGTAGAAAGTAGTTACAGCCTTCCAGTAATGAAATCCCCTCCTGATTCTGAGAAAGGAGTTATAAATGCCAAGATCTCCTTTGCTTAATACACCATGCAAAGCAACATCCTTCTACATTACATAGCTTTGTGAGTTTGATCAGCAGTTACTTTTTCACTCCTGAAACTATTTTCCTTGTGGTCTAAACTTCATCCTTGGTTTGTTCTGTTCCCTCTTCTTTCAGTAAATTATTCCTAGAATCTTTCTCATGTTTCCTCATTTAAGATTTTGTGCACTTTTCATAAAATAATAATAATAATTTTTCCTGTTGGTATTTTACTTGTTTGTTTTAGGGTCTCTCTATGGTATAATGCAGCTATTTTCCAGCACATTTGTGGTGAGTTCTAACACTGCTTTTTAAAGTACATTGGTATTTCTATGGATTTTATGGAAAAAAGAGAATTAGGTTAATAATAACATTTCTTGAAATATTGAAAGTGTTTATAGTGTTCATGTAAGCATTTTGGGTTTGACAGAACTATTTTTTTTGCCTTTTTGTTTCACTTAAAGCAAATACCTAGATCCTTCAGAACATTTCTAAATAGAATGAAGTCTTTAGACCGAAGCTAGAATTCAGGTTTGGTGTCAGTCACACGCCACATCTTAATCACGCAGGGTTGTCTTCAATGTTGGTGTTAGTAAAGCAGTTTTCTTCAGTGCAGCAGCCTTTCTAAAAAGTAGTCTCATGAGTCAGCTCTTCATAATCCTGTTACCTAGAGCTTGCTTTCCCTGCTTCATAAGCAGTGTCTTGTAATCTGTCATATGGCCTATACTCAATGCAATGTGTCTTTGAGCTTTGTTTAGTTTTCTGTTTGTGCGTTGTTATTGTTTTCATTTTTTTTTCTTGTATCCTGACTGAAAAAGAGTTCTAAGATTTGTCAAGCCCAAACTTGCTGAATACACACTTTACCTATTAATACCTTAGATCCCTGCATTTAACCAGGAACACCTTTAATATTATTACCCTGGTACTTCATAGTTCTCAAGAGAGCAGATTTTGAGCATCTTATGAAAAACTGTTTGAGAGTTTGTTATGCAGGCCACCTGGGATAACTTGCTTCTGTAATTTTGTGGCATTTTCTTTGAACTGCAAGACCACTACCTACTTTCTTAAAAACCTTCTTCCTGTTTGGAAACAAGCTGATTTATAAATATACTATGTATAAGTTTACTGTTTGACCTTCTCGTAATTACTTCCTACTTTTCCGCTCTCAGGTGACAAACTCCTACCTTAATGCTATCTGTTTTAGGATGCTCATCAGCAAATGTCTATTCCATAGCAACCATTGTTGCAACCAAATATTTGTGGTTGGTTGTGATGACATTTTCAGAGGGCCAGCATCATAGTATTTGAGGGTGTTTATTGCAGGATTGTATTTTTAAAAAGAAGAATGTATTTTTTAAGGCTTTATACATGACATTAAATAGAATCATAGTTTCAGCTGCTGCACTGCCAGCAGGACAGAACTCCTGTCACTTCCAGACTTAAAAGCACTTAGGAAACTTGTGTAATAAGCTTATTAAGCTTTCACTGACATTCCTTTTAATTCTTTTCTCAGTTTAATTTAGGCATACTGATTGTGCGTTGTATCTAGTTAAATGTTATAAAATGTTCTTTAATTCCTTCTTTGTGAAGGGCTGCTGGAGTGATATAGTAGGAAGACGGTATTCCCTGCTTGCATGCATTCTTCTCAGTGCACTGGGTTACTTCATTCTTGGAATGTCCACCACTGTGTACCTGTTTGCCATTTCTAGAGTCCCTGTAGGTGAGTAAGCACTTGGCATTCTGCAGTTTAAATTCTCTGTACTTTCAGCTTGAGAATTGCTACTAGAGAAGTGGTGGCATGTGGGTAACTACGCAGCATCATCCAACAGCACCAGCTGAACCCTGCTAATGGAAACACCTCTACAAATTAATTCTCATGATTTTTCTGAAAATAATTTGAAATGTCAGCTGTTCAAATGAAACTGTCACAAGTTTTATGCCACTTTTAGTGGCTGAGTTTTATGAGAATAGTAATGCAGCAATTCCTTGAAAGAACTGTTGTAAGGTTAGTCCTTAGGGGTACCCAATATACCTGGTCACTGATGAAATCTTGCAATGCAGAATCGAATGATTTGTACATTATTTTTTGTTGTTGTTGTTCTGTTTTGGTTTTATGCTGAAAACATACTTTTAAGTGATACTACAAAATCTGGCTGAAATTTTAGTTCAGTGCTTCAGTAGAATATTTATGTGCAAAGCATGTGTTTTTGCTGCACATAAGCTAGGTTTGTAGCAAGGTTCATAAAAGAATTTTTATACTAGCTGAACAACTTTTGTACATGTTCTGATGTACATTGCTGTTACTATGAACACTTCTACTGATGGGCACTTTTGTGCCGTATGGTCCCGATTTAGGAACTCCTTGTATTGTTTCTTAATTTAAAGAAAATTTGCTAATGATCAAATGATTACTCAGAAGTAATACTTTTTAATGCTAACAGCACTGTGCCTGTGATAGATGGTCAGAGTGGTTCTGGTCAGAGTGAAGGAACTTAAAAGACTATTGTTAGTATTCCTGCAGCATGCTTACACTTCTGCACTCTTCTTTTTCCACTCATCAGTCTCTAATATGAATTTGGTGCATTACAGTCCTGGAAATCTCCATACTCAGCAAAGTTGTTACTGAGCTATGTCTATAAAGAGAAAAGCCATTTCTGCTCCACCCTTACCCATCCATGTGATCCTGTTTTAGAGATTGTGTTATTCTTAGTGTGCTCCAGCACTCAGCTTATTTACTTTTTATTATTCTTCCAGTAGGTGGAGGAGCACTTCATTAACTCGGTTATCTGAATAGTTTTGATTCTTAGGTCCAAATCCTTGAACAGCTGGGATGATGGTCATGGCTCAACACACTGTATAGCTCTAGCATTGAAGAATTTTTTTTGTTTGTGGAATATTAAAAATATAAATAATACATATTTTTTAATACTGATACTTAAGATAGTGTGTGGAATTTTTAATTTTATGAATTAAGCAATACACATTTTTTTAATATTATGTTGCAGGTATTTTCAAACACACGCTCTCTATCTCTAAAGCCCTGCTTTCTGATTTGGTTTCTGAGAGAGACCGCCCTTTAGTAATGGGGCGTTTCAATGCAGCCTCCAGTGTGGGCTTCATTTTGGGACCTGTTGTTGGTGGCTACCTTACGGAGTTGAAAGATGGCTTCTATCAAACGTCTTTCATCTGTGCTTCTATCTTCCTTCTGAATGCTGGTAAGTTTTGTCACATTTTGCATTTTGTGTTCCTTCACTCCCTGCTCTTGTATGTTTTTGTCATTTGTCACACCTGGAATTCACGGTGGCTTTTACTATTTATGGCACACATGTTCTGTATATTAATAGTACCCTTTGAATTTGAGCCTGTGTGGAAGAGCAGGAATTTTAAAACAGTTAACTTTAGTTGCTTCTCCATTACATTGCCTTTATAGTCAGACACAGGAATGGGAGCTTTGTATGTGCCCAAAGATGGCAACTGGAAATCAGAATTTTGGCTTCAGTCTTTAGATTACTATGTTGTGAGGGTGTTTGTGTTTTCAGTCCTTCATTTCATTTTACCACGTTTAAAATTGAACTGTGAATAATACTAGACATAATCTTTGTAACTTTTTAAGGTGAAATGATTGTTGAAGTCATTTATTTATTGTATTTTTTTACACTAACAGTAAACTTATCATCAGACTAATGTCAGACCATAAAATTAATGCAATTAATTAATTAAAAGTTGATTGAATAAAATCAACTAATTTTTTGATCTATTTAGGTCTTGTCTGGATGTTACCCTGGAATGAAGAAAACACTGGCAATGGGAAACACAAACAAGGGAAGAAAAGGACAGACAGTATCACAGCAAAACCAAATTGTGACCTGCAGTTGAAATCAGTAACTAATGGAACTGTGGCCATTGATAGTCCTTTCCAGTCTCCATGGGTCCAAATTGTGACAGTGCTGAAGAGGATTAAAGAAATTGCATGTTCTGACTTGTGGGATATATTTTTAGTGCGGTTATTGATGTCTGTCACTATACTGCTGTACCATAGCAATTTTAGTCTGGCCTTGGAGGAGAGATTTGGGGTGAAACCCTTGTTCTCTGGATACTTAATGAGTTATAGCAGTTCGCTCGGAGTTCTGGCTGGTTGTCTGCTTGGACCAATAACAAGACTGTATCAGCACAACACTTACAGACTTCTGTTGCACTCCAGCACTTTTACCTGCACGTTGATTCTCCTGTATGCATCAGCGCTTAGCATATGGATGGTCATTTTGTCTTCTACCTTCTTAGCCTTTTCAACTACTATAGGTCGTACTTGCATCATTGATCTTGAACTGACCATCGGTGGGAATGAGGCCAGCGGTACGCTCCTGGGTGTTGGACAGTCTGTGACATCAGTGGGACGTATAATTGCCCCGCTCCTTTCTGGAGTTGCACAGGAGTTCAGTCCTTGTGGCCCTCCAAGCCTAGCGGTTGCATTGGCTTTGGTAGCTATTCTGATAATGAACGTAAACAAACAGAAATATTGTAGTAGTGGAAATGTTAAGTTAAAAAATCAGTAGCTGCAAATTTGGATTGTATGGATGTATCTTACAGAAGAGGCAAAGTGAATCAACCTGTGGTGATGCTTACACCTACCAGACCTGTACAGCAGTAACAGGATCTTTTACATGGGCACGTTATGTTCACATGGACAACACGTAACAAATTTGTTGGAGACAAATACATATAAATGTCTGCTGCAGGACTGATATATTTTTGAACTGGTACCACTAGAACTCTGATGAGAGGGACAGATATTACTGTACAGTATGGGCTGGGTTTTTTTTAATGGACTTTTAACCTTTCTGGAGGGAAAAAAGGATGACTTGAAGTACACAAATCCTGTTTGTAGCTAACATTTGAAACAGTATTTATACTGACTTTAAAAGGTGCAGACAGAAGTTGATTTGTATTATTTAATCAGAAGTGAATGTTTATTATTTAATTGGAATTTGCATCATAACTCATTAGCCTTATTTTCTTATGCTGTGGCCTGCTTCCATGTGTCTGCTGTGACAATAGGATGTTAGCTTATATGATTTCATTAAGCATACTTTGTCTACAAAACTTGTGCAGCATGATTAGGCACCATCTGGCCTGTTTTCTAATCTCTCCCAGGTAACAGAATTGGGTATAAGTTAACTTAGTGTGTTAGCAAGCTTAAAATGGACAATTTTAGAATAACGGGACATTCAGACGGAAACTGAGACCAAACCTAAGATTTGTTGAACCTTGAACTGGTAGCTTCTGTTTAGTGTTGACTTGTACTGAGCAACTTTGTCATAAATAAATTTTTAATACTTCCTGTGCAGGTTTTGTACCTTCGTTTTAAGAATAAATTTTCTTCTCAAGTCTTCAAATGACTGTTAAAGTCTGCCAGAGCAACCAACAGTAATTCTAAGATGGCTCTGGATTAATGCATTTTCTCTCATCACTGGAGGCATAGGTGACATTTTAGTGGCAAAACAAAAAGTGTCGATTTGTTTGTATTTTGGTCTTATTTGTCTGAACTTCTTAAGTAATGAGAGTTTACTCTCTGAGCTACAGTGAGAGTTGTAGTGCTTCCTTGTGACATTTGTTGTTGGAGCCTATATTGCTTACCAGTAACCACTGTTAGTATTTAATCTGAAACATATATAAAAAAGTATTTTGCACTGATAATGTTCCATGTGCTTTTCCTAGCGTTACTTGATGAAAGTACAAAGTCAACTACATAGAATTTTTATTTTTTGATTTTAAAAAAGTTATTCCCTTGAACACATCTGTGCAAGTAATGTTGCTACTTTAGGAGAATCTCAGTGTTTTGCACTTTATATTTTCTTTTCCAGTGCCTGCTGCCATTTTAGTCCTATCTGAAATCTCAGTCATTCCAGTGACACCACTATGAGAATATATAGAGGGAGCTCTGAGTTTTTTATTGTATATATTGACGTAATGTGTCTTATTACATTGCTGCTATGATGTCAGTAACTATCCTCAGAATTACTTATTGTAGTAACCTGTGTTTACTTTATCCTAGGAACTTAAGGCATTTTATTTTGTGTTATCTTTCCTTGTCTTGCTTGATAGATGCTTCAAAACATTCTCACCCTTAATTTCCTATACTCTTTCTTTCCATGTCTTAAATAGATTTCAGTATTTATTTTTACCTAAAGCCACTCTTCTGTAAGTCAGCAATTTCTGTTTTGCAAGTACAGCATAGGTTAAAAGAAAAAAGGGAGGGAAGGTGGGACCTAAAAAACTAATGTATTTGAAATATTTTGTAATTTTTACTATGATTATTGGCTATACTAGATAACAGATAACATTCTAGAGTTGCTGCACTGTTTAAAGCTAAATTCTGTAAACATAAAATTCAGTTTATACTGTACAGCTCACAGAATATTGCTTTTCTGCCTATAAAAGCTTCAGTCTCACTGTTTTTTATACATGAGTAAAAATGTGCTTTCCACAATGATTAAATATTTTTGTTTAATACTATTTTGAAAAATAGGTCTCCATATACACTAAATAAAAATGAAATCTAATATTTTCATTAAGAAATCTTTGGAAGGCTGTGATCTCAGGGAATTTACAACTGGTGTTATGGAAGGATTTTTTTTTTTTAAAATGTAGGCCAAAATGATTTTCAGAAGTGCAAACATTTCTTCTTGAAAAGACTCAGTTACAGATTTTTTTGTTGTTGTTTTGTTGTTTTTTGTTTTTTTTTAGGAATAGTAATAAAATGAAATTGTGTTCCACTTTTATCATTTTGTCACTGTGTTTTTTCTTCTCTTCCTCTGCTGAAACTATAGCATGAAATAGAAATGGTTAAGTTAATGTTAAAGAAGTGCATTTTTTTTTTTCTTTATGGACTAGCTGTTCCTTAAAATGATCATTTGAGTCTGTATGCTTTTAATGTAGAAGGCAAAGAAGCCAACCAAGTGGCCTGACAGCGAATGAAAAAGAAGGAAAAAAATGAAAACAAAGAACTTACCAGTTTTAAGATGGAATGCTTAAAGCTACTGTTCCTAGTGCGTGGAGACCATGTTTGCATCCCTCATGTTGCCATGGCCATGTAAGCAGCAAGTGATGAGTAAATGATGTCCCAGGAGAGAAGGAGATGTGACTCCCCCTTTTAAGCTGAGGGAGAAGCAGTCGCAGCTATTTTTGACTACATTCTGCTGGGCTTTACTGAATTACTCAGCAGTTTCTTTGATCCATTTGTGGTATCTGAACATAACAAAACCTCTAAATATGGACTAAACTGGAAAAAGAAGTTTCAACCTGCAAATGACTGCAAAGTGAGATTTTTCCCTTACTCACTATTACTTTAGTTTTGGGTTAGTTTTCTTGGGCTCGTATGCAGGGTTGATTATTTATTTATTTACTTATTGCTTTTTCCTTTTGAAATTTTCATTTTTTTAACATTGACCTTTATGATCAGCTAATGCTGAAGAAACCATATACTGAGCAGTATTTTTTCTGTAAAACAACTGATAGTGTATGATAGGTACTCGTTTTGTTGCTTTTAAATGATTAAATGCATGTAAGATTAATTGTTGGTTTATGCTCTCTACATTCCAACAGATATTTTATAAATCTATCAGTTCTGCATATTATTTTTTTTGTGTGGTTGTTTTGTGTGTGTGATTTTTTTTTTTTTTTACTCTGAATTTACTCAGCACAGACCCACCACAGAGGTCTGTACTGTTCTCATTTTCTGAGAACACGTTTCCTGAGGACCACATAATGCAGCTACAGTATTGCTTGTTTATTGGCTTGCTCGTCACTTCAAGCACTCATTAATTTCATTGAAATCAAGCAGACTGCAACCACTGTGGATATGTTCAAGCATTACCACTCCCCCCTTTTCCCCCCACTTATTCCCCCCTTCAGTTAGGGGTGCTGTGGACTACCCCTGGGTAAGTAATGCTTTATAACTTGGCACTTTGGGATTTGGAAACTGAAACTGTGCCATTGTTGCTATAATTTTGAAGACTCATTCACAAAGAGATCATCAAGAGATGAATCTTGTAAGGAAGTTTATTATGGCCTGGACTTTGAGAATACTGTGTGCAGTTCTGGGCACCACAGTATAAAAAGGACATGAAACTGTTGGAGAGTGTCCAGAGGAGGGCTACGAAGATGGTGAAAGGCCTGGAGGGGAAGACGTACGAGGAACGGCTGAGGGCACTGGGCCTGTTCAGCCTGGAGAAGAGGAGGCTGAGGGGAGACCTCATCGCAGTCTACAACTTCCTCATAAGGGGGTGTCGAGAGGCAGGAGACCTTTTCTCCATTAACATCAGCGACAGGACCCGCGGGAACGGGGTTAAGCTGAGGCAGGGGAAGTTTAGGCTTGACTTCAGGAGGAAGTTCTTCACAGAGAGAGTGGTTGCACACTGGAACAGGCTCCCCAGGGAAGTGGTCACTGCACCGAGCCTGACTGAATTTAAGAAGAGATCGGACTGTGCGCTTAGTCACATGGTCTGAACTTTTGGGTAGACCTGTGCGGTGTCAAGAGTTGGACTTGATGATCCTTAAGGGTCCCTTCCAACTCAGGATATTCTATGATTCTATGATTCTATGAATAAATTTATTCTGAGTGGAGGTCAGACCTTTTTCTCATAAAAATGAAATAGTTAATAGTGCTTCTTTTAAAATGAAGTCTTGAAGCTAAATATTTAGTTATTTTTAATCCAATGTTAGCATCAAAGAGCTATTTTTGAGAAATGCTTTGCAATTGGAGCTGCTCTTTCATTCTGTCAAGTCTATTAAACAAGGTGAGAGCAATAATATGAAAAATAAATAAGCCGGGGTATTTAAAACACTTTTACCTTTCTGCGGCTAAAAATTACTTCTTGAAACAAAACCTTTGGCAGCTAGAGTGCTGTTGCAACTCATACAATACCAATGTGAACCTCAGCACATTCCAGATCATGAAACAGTGAGACTCACCAGATCAACCAGTGTAACTATTATTTTCCTACTGCAATATTAGCCCCAGGTATCAAATGTCACAGGATAAAAAGGCTTCCGAAGCTTCTCAGCCCTGTACAGGAATTGTATCAGGGTTTGACTGCATGGAGAAACAATGCTAACCCAATATCCCATTGTGTTGTCCTATTAGAAGACCTGTCCAGCACCTGCAGAAGGAATTCTGGTAGAGAAAAGTCTCAAGTGGCACAGTGCAGTTTTCAACCCCAAATCTGATTAACTCCCAAGTGCTGAGGTACCCTTCAACTGTTAAGAGGAGAATTAAGCTGTAATATGTATTTTAATTAAAAAAATAAAATATCTGCCAATTAGCAATTAGTCCTTCTTTCAGGATTTAAATAACACCTGAATAAGGTGAGTTAAGTAGTTCATGAATTCCCTCTGTATTGGGTCCTAAAGCAGATCCTCATTCTCCTGCTTGGACTTGATACCTCCTGCATCTTGTTTTCTGGGCTGTGCCTCCTGGCCTCTACTGTTGGCCTGGCTGGCGCTGTGTGTTGCAGACGCTGTGTTTTAAGCATATTCACAATCATAGTTTTATAGGACCAGAGCTCTTGCGGTACAAGCATGCCTCCAACCAATTTCAAAATTCTTCAACTCTTCAAGAGCTGGGGATGTTGGCAGAACCTAAACAGTTTTGGAAATGGTGACCAGCTGAAGCACTTCTTGCAGTGTCAGCCTTAAAAGGTTTTTGGTGTCTGGAACTGATGGATTTGGCATCTCTTGAAAAAGCTGGTGCAGAGTGCAATGTATTTACTTCCAGAGACCCCAAGGTACTATTCAGAACAGCATGCATGTTATTTTGGCCAAGTTTTCAACTCAGTTTGTTCCCCTATGTGATTTCTGTGTGGCTTCAACAGAGAATGATATTCTTAAGTTTCTAAATTGTTATGCAGCAGGGTTATCTTCTGTTAAACACCTGTCATTTCAGTGGGCCTTGAATTACACTTCAGTACCAAGCAGTACAGCCCTTAAAATTTGGTCTCTTAAAGCAAATTATTCTTGTTTTCTCTTCCAAATATATACTTAAACAGATAACTGGCTGTCTATCTACACTGTAGCCCTTGCTATACCTACTTTCTTATCCTATTTGCTTGCAATTTTATAGGCCTCAGAAGCTAAAGGGGAAAAGAAACTCCCAGAGAACCCTAATTCACAGTGTAACATATATTTTCTACTGTCTCATCCCTGAAATTGGACAGCTGGGCATTTATCAAGGCAGTAAAATATTGATACTACAGAGAGCACTGGGGAGTCCATATGGAAACAAACAACAACAACAAAAAGAAATGCGTGGATTTGGCATGTTTCCCAGTCAATGCTGAAGATCTGGTTTTCCGAAGTGAAAAGCGTGTCCCAAGTCAATACACGTTTTTCTCCATCAGATGGTGCTCGAGGACAGCTTTATTGGGCTTCTCGTTCTCTAGCAGACATGCTTTCTTAGTTACAACATTAAGGAAAGGTTTCTTAACGCAAGCTGAAGCTAGATGGGCACTTGAGGAAGAGGCAAAGGTGCTACTTTGCAGAAGAGGAGAAGAAGAAAAAAAAAAAAAGAGAGAGACAAACCTCAGACCCAAACCAGAGTCTGAGTTGCATGAGGGGCTACCTGGGACATAGCTTGTGTCACCTGCAGCTGTCTTTGCTACTGAAAAGACCACGCAGGGAAGCAGTTCCCAAGGTGATGAGGTCTGTCCTAGCAGCACCAGAAAAGAGCCTGAAAGGGGTGGGAGGAGCAGGAGAGGGAAAGGGAGGCAGCACTTGCAAGGAGCCAGAGTCCCAGGAGATGTGATTCCGCATTGCAGTGTAACCATGCTGGAGGTTTCCCTTGATGCTCCTCTTCTGAGGTTCTCGAAGTGCTTTGAAAAGGTAGCAAATTGCTGGTGTGTCTTGAAGCACCAAGAGCATATTTCATAAGAACAACCTCTACCTTTGTGTTTTTACAATGGGGAACCCAGTTCAAGTACCAATGATCTAAGCAGGTGCTGCACTAATGGACAACACAAGGAAAGCTGTCAGGTTCCTAAAACCTACATCCATTATTTAATATTGTGCCAATAAAACCAACAACCATTTTTTTAAAAAACATGACATCTTTCTCCAATTACTTGGTCATTACCAGCACATGAAGGAGAAAGCTCCACAGAGAATAAACTAAATGTCCATGTGCAACATTTTACATTTATTTATTTGGTCAGATTTCAGATGGACCTGCTATAAAACACCTGGTCTAAACAGTCCCATCTGCAGAGAGGTTTCGGAACTGAAATCCAAACTTAAGGCTTCTTTCTTATTTAATTGTGATATCAGTAATGCAGTGATAGAGTACCTGCTGGCAGTTTTACAGTTGAAATATATTTTCCTGTAGAAATACATTCAAATTTGTTTTTAAAGCTT